AAAATTGCCGATCCTGATTGGCCAAATCAATGTTGTTTACAATCCTGATTGGTCGATCACCTGATTTCATATGATTACAACATGATTACTATTAAAAATGATCACCGTTCACTCTACCCTTAAAAATAATAATGAAACTTAAAACGTTCAATAGTATTAAAGTTACAATATAGCAAAATTACATCTACTGAAAATATTAAACTATAGACACAAGAGCTTTAAAAATAGCTTCTTTGATAGCTTCAATATTACTTCAATAATGATACCATTAGCTATTATTTAAAAAAAAAACAAATAAAGCATTAAATATCAGAATACAGTATAAGTAAGTAAGCAAAAAAAAAATTATTATTAATAATCAAAATCATTTGGGCTAATTTTGATAAAATACTAGTTAGTTATTAAATTAAAAGTAGTTATGCAATAATATTATACAAAGAAAAAAAAGAAAAATACCATGATACTATTTGTTAGGCATTTTTGTTTATTATATTACAAATACTATACTGACGAAACTGACGAAAACTATAGTTTAAACTACCAATAACTAAATATTTGCTTTTTTTTTGTTTTTTCGATTGCTGATTTGATTCGCCTATTGGAAAAATGTCCTTTCCCAACATAATGAACCGGATTCTGAACAATTAGTTGTGTAGTTTTAGCATTTCTCTCATGTTTGAAATTTTGTTTATTTTTCTTATATTCTATAACTTGATTATATTCTAATTCTAGCCCCTGTTTTAGTATTTGTTCTATAGCTTGATTGTTATATCGTAGTTCTTCATATGTATGTATCCATTCTTTAAAAGTTTCTATTAAAAAATTTGAATCATTTATATTATCATAATTAACTAGTTTTACATATTTATAGGCAAGTCCAAGCAATATTCCTTTAATTAACTGCTTATAACTAATTGCTTTTGCTATAGCTTGTATAGAAGATTCAATAACTATAGTATTCCATGATTCAAAAATATCTGGAAAAGAGAAAGTATATAATTCTGAACTATTGTCTTCTGACTTTCCTCTAATAAATAGTTTATTAACAATTAATATATCTATCTCTTAAATTGTTTTGCAGCCAAATTTGCTTGCAAACTTTTTTAAATTTTAAATTTTTCTAATAAAATTTTAA